ATCATTTGATTTCAAGTACAGGATACTCATCTTGAGCAACTTCAGCAATTAGCAAAAGAGTACTATAGCGTGAATGCACTACTGTTACTGTACCACAGTAAATCCAACTATCTGGACCATTGGCCATGTTGTGCCTGCTCATGCCAGGCAGGTCCATGATAAATATGGTCAAGGTCTTTTAACTGTAACAATGGAGGGCAGACAAGCCAAACATATAGCTTTACAGAAGTTAAGTGCAAACACTACATACCAACATCGATGGGCTGAAATTTTCAGGCATGAATTTATTATGTTGGTTTTGTTACCTGAACAGCATCATGAACCTTGTTCTTACACTCCTAGTAAAAATGTTTACATTCCTCAAAGAGTTTTTAATGACAGTAACTACTGCAACTGTAGACTTCATAAAGCTGATCCCACTGATAAGAGCTGCTGTTTATGTAGTGATCATCTCATGACAAAGGTGAAGTTAGGTACATGAATTGACAAATGAAGTCACCAAAGGAGTGCTTTTAGAACATGCAATTATTGTAATTAACTATTGTTTCCTTTTTCAGTTCAATGAAAACTCGGCATTTTAATCAGTAAATCAGTTGTATAACAAATGACTGGAAAAAATTCATTTATAATATTTTGCCTTGATTTAACACAAGACAAAAATGACCTTTATAAAGCACTCGTTGACAAACAGGCAACACTAGATGTTGCATTCCAGCAGAAGTAGTGGGTCACAAGTCAACAACCTGTCAAGGTGATCAGAAAATGATCTCGTTTTGTTTTTAAAGAAACTGGAATGCTCATCACAGTTAGGTCAAAGTGCAGGCAAATCATACATGGCTGGGAGGTTGAAAACTGTGATCAAGGTCTTGAAAATGCTGCCAGAGGCCATAGGCGAAGGACAGCATTTTAAAGACCGACATCACAGTTTTTCACCATACAGACTGACCCTTAGCCGGCAGATAACATTTTTTTTTAACTTAACGAAATTCTTTCTAAAAGAACCCGAATTGTGATTTAGGGCTGTACATACAGCAAGATCTTCCATAAACTGGGCAATTTTTGAGTGAGTAAATGCCATAGTTAAAATAGAGGTGATGCAAATTAAAGAGAGATGCTTTACTAAAACAATTTCATTTGCATAATGATAAAGGAAATTTATTCCTACAGAGAATAAATGAGTTTATGTGGCTCGCTACGTGAGTTAATGTTTGACTAGTAGGGGTCAGTTTACATACAGGACTCTTAGTTCTGAGTATTTAATCAATGCAGGCCAGAGTTCAGGCCTCTTTTTCTCCAGCTTCAGTAGAAAAACGTTTTCACGGTCTTTGGACGTACAATCGAACATACAAGCATCTGGGAAAAAGAAGAGAAGCTGAGAAAAAGTTAAGTATCGTTTAGTGATATTTTGCTGCAAGCAAAGTTTTATTTTCATTCATTCCTGCCTGGGATCAATGATGGCCGCCTTAGCTCAACCACACGCTCTGGTGTTTGGCCATTCATTTGTGTGATGATTCTGTGAATTCATAGACAATAGCCAGTCAAGAGACCTTTATCGTGGGGATTTGCAGCTTGTTGATACGTGTGAGGTCGCGATTTTTGGTACAGGAGGATGCACAGTCGACAAAACAATTCGTTTCGACTTGAACACAATTACAGGCACTGCCCCCAATGTTGTAGTAATGGAGATGGGATCCAACGATGCTTGAGATATGGATAGCGACGCGGAAACCATCACTAGTAGCACTAACGGAATTACTGATCAGCAAATGCAAGATCCAGTTTAACTAGAAAGACTTTTTCATCTCCTTTTATCCCTTCAATGTCAAGAGTTCATGGAAATTTCAAAATGCAATGTTGTAGCACATTATTAGCTGGCATAGCGCTTGCAATGACGACATTTTG